AAAAAAAAAAAAAAAAAGATGGAATCTGGGAATGTAATACACCCAGCAGAATTTGGGCCTTCATTACAGCATGTTAAAATAAATAAACTAAAATAGTCACTGGCTATTATTGGTTTGAGTTTCTAGGTGAGCCTGTCAACGATTCGACGTAACTAGCTGGCTATTCCCAAAACACAGAAGCACATGCACACACGCGGGTACACACACAGTCGCTAAAATGGTCGCAAACTCCAAAGGCTCCAGAAGCACCACGTCAGGGAGGGAAGCAGGCCGGGTAAAACTAAACGGCCCTCTCTGTCTGCCTTTATTTTCCCACTTCCGGCAAGACATGGGCGCAAAGTAAAATTTTCTACCGTGAGAGAACTAACAGCTTAAAGACAAAAAGAAATGGCGCATCCGCGCCGGGGGGAGAAAATATTTCAAGGTGGGGGGAGTGGCAAACTTGAGCCCAGCTCAAGGCCAATGTTACCATAATGAGAGATGATGGTCCAGAGCTTTCCTTTATTGGAGAAAAGCCAGAATTTTTAAATTTTATGTGAAATCTCCTGATTTTTAAATATTGGTGGTTAACTCAAATGTTTAGAAAAAGCATTGCCTGGGATAAGCGGAACACACCTGCAGGCTGGCTGTGGCCAGGGGGGCTCCAGCAAGTTCTGGTCCCTGCTCTACATTTGTTCTTGCCCGAAGTCCTCAGAGAGGAAAAGGGACATACATTCATGGTTCTCAGACTGGGCTGGATTTGGTATCGCCCATGCAGCTTGGAGAATAACAGATTCGGGGGCTTGCTGCCAAAACTCCAAGTCCACAGTGGGAACCACTGGGAACAATGGAGATTCTCAAAACTCACCACACCAGGGTCTGGGCGTAGATCAGTTCCAGGACGTTCCGGGCAATGTCAAACTCCTGTAAGCCGAGACTCTTGATAAACTGCATCCCAATGATTCTGCAACAACATGCTGAGTTTAGTAACCAAACCATTCACTCCTTCAAAAGATTCCCCACAATCAACCAAGGAGACCCTCACCAGTTCGGAATAAACTCATAAGTCCCCTGACAAATTTTTGAAAAGTTCTAAGTATAAGCATGTTTTTAAAGACATAATTGAGGGAATTAAGGGAAAATGAAATTAACACAATGCATTCAAATGGGGGTGGGGGTGGGGGTGGTTCTGCTAAAATGGTTTTTAAAAATTCCAGAGAACATTTGTTACCTTATTTAAACTACCCCACCTATTATCTCGTTTATACAACTCTTGGCTTGGCTTCTTAAACCTTATTTTCATGACCAAATAAACTCAGTACCTCCTAACGCAAATAAACTGATATTTTTTTTCCAATTTTTGATTATTGCTATTGAATTCATGGTGTGTCCCTGTTTCTAAGATCACAAGGAGGAAACCAAGATCCTTATGTACTGTGAGGAAACTGATCACTTTTATTTCTTCATACAAAGAAGTTGCCAATAAAAATTACTTTCAAAAACAAATAAACAAAAAAAACCCTTCTCATCTTTTACGTCCAGACCCCAGACAGAAGCTGAGACATTTTGGCATTCGATGTACCCACTGGGGAAAAAAATCATCACTGTGTTATGTCATCTTATCACTAGAGCAGCTTGCAAAATATGTAAATGTCTATAAGGAATGAGATGCTCACCATATTAAAAAATGAATAAAAATTTTAAAAAAATGAATAAAAAAATAAAAGGGAACTACACATGGGCCAGTGATGACACTGCCTGACTTTTGTGCACCTGGGTTCTAAAATAAAAATTGGTACTTTAACTAAATTCAATTAAATGAATCAAGAGATAAACCTATACATACTGGCATGGAAAGGTGGCAAGGCAATAGATTAATAAGAGCAACCTCCACAGGATTTTACAGTATGAATCCATTTTTATCTCTGAAGATTATTTAGTACATATGCACACAGGAAGCAGTATGTGCATCAAAAAATCTGGAGAAATAGACATTAGAATATTAAAATTAGTTATGATGGAAAAGATCTCAAATGGCTGTGTTTGTTTGATTCTAGAACTTTTTTTCTTTTTTTTAAGAGAAGGTTCGAAAGGGCCAACTGAACCAAATAAACTTTGACAACAGAACTGTCAGATCAAGGTGAAATTTCAGTTAATTCAGAAATTTCAGTTAAAAAAAAAACCCCAAACACAATATTCCGAAGGACGATAGCCAGATTTAGAACAATGCACATTACAGAACTGAGGGACCCATACTTCCTGCTCAGTCAAGGAAATGGCTCTGGCTACAAATCCAATTACTAATTACTTAAGAAGGACAAATATTTACCTCCTCAGGAACTCCCCCAGGAAGGAATCCGCTAAGGAGAACACGAAATCCATCAGAAGGAGCCGGTAGATTTCCTGGCCAATGAGAGTTTCCCAGCACTGCAAGACAAAGAGAGTCTGTAGGCAACAGGGGCTATTGCCTCCGCTTGATTTCTATTAGTTCCCACCACTCCGTGCTCATGGAGACGTAGCTGGTGGTTCAGTCTGACCCAGCCCTCGGGGCCCCAGAAAAGCACACCCACTCTTGGCAGAAATGCATCATTAGGCCGAATCTGTTTTCAAAGTATTTATTCCTTTACTATGCTCCTTCTTCTCCCATTAAAGCCTGCTCTCCATATACACCCAAACTTTCCATTCTCACTCTCTCTCTTTTTAATACTTTTCATCTCTGTCTTTCCTATGCTCTCCAGATCCCATTACTCAGCCAGGGCAAATCAGTTTCTTTGGGAAAGTAGGAGGCATCGATGGTGAATAATGCTCTACTCCTTTGCTTATTAACCATATGAAAAATCAATTAATATCTGCTTAAGAAAGCGGACTAGAGGTTTAGTGGGCTAGTACACACTGGAAGTTCGAATTAGTCAGTTTACGAAACTGGTGGTCATTTACCTCTGCGGAAAGTAAGTGCTATGAGCTGATAGACTGGGAAATTGAAGATTTGACCGAACGAAGAATGAAAAGTTTTGGGTGCACAGCCCGAGGAGGGATAGATAGATAGATGGAAGGATATATGAATGGATGGATGGATGGATGGATGGATGGATGGATAGATAGAAAAAGAATATGATATCTGCTCTAACATCACGAGCAGAAACTGTTAAAAACTTGAGAAATTCCTCCCTGGTGGTCAAAAGCTAAGAAACCAAAGTTAAGGCAGAATGGCACTGAAGTCTCACCGATTCGCCAGCCAGGGCCACAATGTTGAGCCAATAGTAACAAAGAATTCCAATGATTGATATTTTCAGAAAGATGTTTCTAAAGAACAGAAGAGAAAACAATTATTATTACCTTCTGTGGCTGTCATTAGAGCCAGTCTCCAGTGTTTCCTTTGGGGCACATGGTAGGATGAAATTCCTGACTTCCCCCTGCCCCGCCCCATAGTTGAGTGGGGCCATATAGCTACCTCTGGCAAATGAGCCGTGAGCAATAGTGAGGTGTGTCCCTTTCTATCACTTTGCATCACTTCTAGGCTGGAGCATTTAAATGCCAGTAAGATCCCCCAGGACTCACTGTCTTCCCGCTGAAAGGGCCGTCGGCAATATTCGAGATGGTTTCTGCTCTCAGGCTGGATCCCTGCATGGCTAACGTGAGCAAATCCCCCTCCCCCCACCCCTACCCCACCACCAATGGACACGCAGCATGAGCAAGAAATAAACCTTTGTGTTTTAAGCCACTGAGGTTTGGGCAAGGAGAGATGTACGTTACCGCAGCATAACCTAATTTATTCTGACCAATATACCTTCGTCTGCTGCATCTCCAAACTATCTGATCTCATTTCTCATCGTAATATCGTAGCCGTACATACTACTCGCTGGATGCTGGTCATAGACTGTACACTGCGTTAAGCACTTCAATGAATCACCTCTCTTAATCTCTACGAGTCGATAGTATTTTATGCCTATCTTAACTACGAAGGAACTGAAGCTCAGAGAGAGGAAATAACTTGGCCAAGGTCACACGGCTTGTTAGGCGCATGACAGATTCAAACTGAGGACCTTCTTCTGATTCAACGGCCTGAGCTGTTAAACTCTGTCCCTTTGCCTAAGTCAATACCTGCTGATTTTGACAGGCCTTCAGGATTGGTGTGCCAAGAATCATGTGTCACCAGACAAGTGGTTCTCAAAGTGTTGCCCCCCACCAAGCAGCAGCATTAGCCGTGAACTTGTGAGAAAGGCAACGTTTAGGCCCCACCCCAGACCTACTGAATCAGGAGCTCTGGGAGTGGGGCTTAGCAACCCCTCCAAGGAAATTCCGGCGCACCCCGAAAGTTGAGAACCACCGTGCTAGATGCCATTGTTAAGGAAAGGAACTGGCTCTGTCTTATTTAATGTCAGGTCCTCAACTTCTTGCCGACCCTCTAATCCCACTACCACCATCAGGATCTACCGGATTCATAATGGCTTAGTAAACCGGGATACTGTGATTTTAAGAAATAGATATTTGGTCTTCGTCCTTGTTTGTGGCACTGAGCTCCTAAAACCCTTGGAATTTTCTAAGTGAGGAGAGCAATAAAGGTGTCTTTTGTTATGTGGATGAGTGACTTTTGACCTGCACCTAAGAGGCTGGAACTTTTGTCTTATTCCCTGACCTCTGCAGAGGGGAGAGGGGCCGGAGGTCGGAGGGATGGGCAAGGCCCAATGATTTCGTCAGTCATGCTTAGGTAATGAGGCCTCCATCAAACCCCAAAAGGACAGGGTTCGGAGAGCTTCCGGGTTGGTGACACGTGGACATGTGGGGAGACTCTTGTCCTTGGAGAGGACGCGGAAGCTCCACGCTCCTTCCCTGTACCTCGCACTACGCATCTCCTCCGTGTGTCTATTCCTGAGCTATATCCTGTCATAATAAACCGGTGATCCAGTCAGTAAAACGGTCCTCTGAGTTCTGTGAGCCACGCTAGCAAATTCACAGAACCTGAGGAGGGGGCCCGGGAAGAAAGAACGGCCAGTGCACAGGTCCAGAGGCGGGCATACGGTTTGGCATGTTTGTGAACAGTTAGGCCAGTCTGGGAGTACGCTGAGGAATGGGGAGAGGGACCGAAAATGAGGCTGGAGAGATGACCAGGAGCCAGACCTCGGAGGCCATGATAAGGCAAAGGCTCTGGAGCTGACCAGTATAGAAACTCCCCCTGCATGGTACACCCTATTGTCAGAAACACCACGATGACCAGGAGCCGGACAGGAAACTAGCCAAGCAGCAGCAATAAGGACACGATTCGGCCAGCGTTAGGTAGGTTCTGTCTACCAAAACCCTGAGGTCGCCTCTAGCGCATGCAGCGCCTTTGTGGGAATCACAAAAAGGTACCCCCCTCCCATCTCTGTTCGGGTGGTTCCATCATAAAAATGTACTTCTTCCTGCCGCTGAGGCCGTGGGTACCGGTCTGACTCATGGAACCCCCGGATGATGTCAGTCTCCACGCAGCTCCTCAGCCGGTAACCCTCACGGGGTGCTGCATCCTCAGCAGATCTTATAACTGAGAACAGTGCTAATCCTCAGGCCGGCGGCCACTGCAGATGATAAGCCATCGAAGACAAGCTTATCTTCTGCAGTTGCCGTCATCCTCAGGCCGGCAGCCACTGCAGAAGACAAGCAAAAGGCAGGCGAACTCCAAACCCGTTTTGTCTCCTGGCTCTTTGGATTCTCTGGCCATTAACCCGCACTCTACAAACACACTATACTCTTGACATTCTTTCTGGAAATCGGAGCTTGGGTACTTGAACGTAACCCTTTCTAACTCCTACGCCACCTCCCTCTGTGAAGACGGAGGGTGGCGCTGGGAGTGACGCGCACACCCACCGGATCAGAAGCATGTACACCTCCTGCCGCGGCGTCTCGTACCGCTCCACCAGCCTGAAGGCCGAGTAGAAGCGTGGCACAGCCAGGTTGATGCAGGACACGACGAAAGGCAGTAACAGCACTGCCCCGGGGTTCCTGTGGTTCTCCAGAAACTGTAGAGGATGGAGGGAGAGAATCGAGATGCCCACTGTGCACGGGACCCCTCTCTGCCTTGCTCAGCAGCCCCCCGTGAGGGGAAGACCCCAGAAGTAGCTCCGGTGAAGTCAGCTATTATGCCGCCGGTTATTGAGTGCTTATTCTGGGCCAAGCATTGCCCACATGACTGCAGGAAGCCTCACTGCAGCCCAGCAGATGGGCATTTATAGACTTAACTGACAGGTAGACTGAGGTACAGAGAGGTGAAGATGCTTGCCCAGTGTCACCCAGCTAGAAAGTGGCAGATTTATCCAGGTCTATCTGACTCAGGAGCCTGAGCTCCAATAGCCATTCTGTGATTTTTCCTTCCTTACCGAGAGGTCCGGGGCAACGAGAATGTGCTCCCTGGCTGTGGGAGCAAAAGCTTGAGTCTATCGAAGCTACAGCACGAGAGTTCCCATCCCTGGCCCGACCCTGCCTGCGTCTACCTCCAGATGGTTTTGAAAGCACCACTCAAATTTTGGGCGTTATCTTCGAAGCCAGCATAACAAATTTTGTCCCCATATTTCTAAACTGCAAGGTCTGGGGCCAGATAAATAGCTTCCCAGAGCCTCTTTTCCCCCATCTGTATAATGGAGGGATTGTCACGTGGTCCATAGAAACATTGCAAGAATTAAATGAGACCAATAAGGCTAAGTCTGGCCCCTCAATGACACAGCTGGGGCACCATTCACATGAAATTGTAGTTGCCCATGAACGTGACCTCTGGAGCGGTGGAAAAGGTCGATGCTGGCTGGCACCGAGCAGATGTCTGAACAAAGGGGATGATTCCGCTTCTACCACCCTTCTTCCTTCCTCCTTCCCTTCAGGTGGGTGTGGAGAAAACCTTCCGGGTGAAGAAGAAACTCAGACGTCTTCTTTACACCTACTGCTGCCCGGTCACGGCTTCTGCCCCGGGCAGGCAATGCCAGGCCCCTGAGGACTGCGACTCAACTGCCCCTGTTTCAGGGGACATCTTAATATGCTTCATGGCAAACGCGTCGGGCTGTGTAATCCCACGCACCTTCCCTTGCCGGCTTCTCCTTCACTTATTCATCCACCTGGTTGAGCACCTACTGTGTACCAGGTATTGGGCCAGCTCCCTGGCTACCATCCTTTGAAAAAACAGATGCATACACAGGTATTTCCAATGCTGCATGTGAAGAGTACAGAAGAAAAGCTTGCAGAGAAAGAAGCACCGAACTCAGCCTGGCGAGGGTGGTGGAGATAAAAGAAGGCTTCCTGGAGGAAGCGACGCCCGTGCTGAGGTTTAGAGGAGGAAGAGGAAGAGTTTGCAAGATGAAAGCAAGTGTTGAGATGTAGAGGGAACTGCATGTTTCCCATCTAGAGGTGAGGAAGAGCATGAGGTGTTCAGGAAACTGTGGACGCACCATTTAGTGTTGCTGGTGTGGCATGTGGGTGGTTGTGGGGCGCTGAAGCTAGAGATGTGGGCAGGGGTCAGATCATAAAAGATCTATCAGTCATGCCATAGAGGATAGATTTTATATTATGGGTAATGGGAAGCCATTAAAGGAAGTGACATTATCGGACCAACCTGCACCACAATTCTAGACTTAAGCAAACTGGCTACAATTAGCCCCATTTTACAGAGGAAAAAGCTGAAACCTACAGAAAAACAGTACTTCGCCTAGACCACCCAGCTAATTAATCTCAGAGTTCATATCATTAAAAAAAAAACAAAAAAAACGAGCACCACCACCGACCACCAAAACCTAACATTCTTTCATTACTCACAATACCAGGCACTGAGTAGACTCTCCACATAACTTTTCTCTGGCCCTGACTGCATGCCTACGAAGCCAGGTATGATCACTCCCATTCCACAGGTGAGGAATCTAGGGCTCAGAAAGGTTGATTCCCTTGCCAGAGTCCATCAGATCACAATACTTACCGAGTGTCTACTCAGTGCCGGGAGCTGCGAGAGGCGTCAGGGTTATCATAATAAAGGAAGAAACCAGAACTCGACCCCAGGTCTGTGGCCGAAGTTCCCACCTCTCCACTAGCCCAGAGCTTTTCAGTCGAAGTTGTACACGTACGTCAGCTGGGGACGTTGTTAAGATGCAGATTCTGGGTCCACAGACCAGGGAAGGGACCTCGGATTCTGCATTTTTTAACAAGTTTCCAGCCGATGCCATTGCTGCTGACCGCTGACCTGGTTTGAGTAACGGGCTCTACTCTGCTCTCCCCTCAGCTCCCCGTCTCTTCACCCGGTTCTCTGCGCTCTGGACTCTCGTCGTCCTGCCTCCCCTGTTACCTCTGAGTTGTTCCCAGCCAGGTAATAAACAGCTACACAGCAAGCAACAGCCACTCCAGTAGAGACCACCCAGGCAGCCAGGTGGGCAGACAAGCGGGTCAGCCGCTGATTGAGTGTTAACTTGACATTCTCCTGACGGATTTCTGACAGGTTCTCCTACAAACACAAGGAAGTCGAGTTGGCCCACAGACCCCTCCCCATTGTCAGCGAAGACATCCCCCCAAGTGAATACTCTCCATTTCCAGAGACACACACCCACCCCAAATCCATAGGTAAGAGAGAGGGAAAGTTCATGATGAACATGGATGAAGGGAGACCCACGGGAAAATCTCAAACGGGCAAGAACCCCCATCACTGAACCAAACGGCTTTTCTGTTTCAGAGGAACAGACAGGACCAACAAGTTGGGACTGTGCTCTTGAGCAAAATACTGAGGTCATGAAGTTCTTTCCTGAAGAATAAGAAGTTAACATCTACAGTCCTCCTGACAAAGCCCCTTTGTTTAAACATTCTGCTTGCTCTCTCTTTTGGATGGTTTTTTGTTTTTTTTGGTTTTTCCTGTAAACCATGGTATCTCAACCTGGGTACCATTGACCTTTGGGACCAGGCAGGCTACCCTGTGCATTGCAGGATGCTTAGCTGCATCTACCCACTTGATGTTAGTAAAAACCTTCCAAGTCTTCGGACATTGTCACATGTCCCCTGAGAGGCAAGACTGTCCAGGGTTGAAAAACCACTGGATGAAAATTTAAACCTGGAACTACGAGCTCAAGAAGTCTTTACATTTACTATTTTGATATAAATTGCTAAACTGCCGTCCAGTGAGCCTCTACCAATTACAAAGCCACCGTGCCATGTGGAAACGTCCATCTCCCTACACCATCACAAACACCCGGCATTATGAATATTTTTCTGGGTTTGGGGTGGGTTTTTTTTTTGTTTTTTTTTGTTTTTGTTTTTTGTTTTTTTTTGCCAATCTCACGGGCAATAAAAAAAATAATGCGTTATTACTTTTTTAAAAAGTTACTGACACACTGAAGGAGAGAAGAAGACAGTCCAGGGAAGGTGCTGAGATAAGTAAGCTTGCCTTACCCTTATTTCGGTGCTAAGATTCTTCTGTTTCAGCTTTACAGCTTTTTCGTGAGTGACAGTGAAGTCCCAGCAAAAAATAAGTTTAGTGATCCCTCTGGAGTAAATGTGAGGGTTGATGAAGTTGTTCCGGAAATACCTGGCCATACTAGGGAAGGCAGAAACCAAAATACCCAAGGGTTATTTGAACGAGCATTGGTAGAGCAGGGATTAAAATGGACAACAACGACAAAAGTCCTGTAATTAATGGTGAAAGGCCACATGAAAGAGCTAGCTCCAAGTTCTTCTGGGGACGATGCGATTGCAAACATAATGGCTAAGTGCACTGGCTTCAGAATCTGATGGGCCTGACTTACAATCCTGGATTGCTGGCTGGGGGATCTTTGTCATTTTAACTGGGCGGAGCCTCTGTTTCCACATCTGTATAATGGAGATAATAATACTACCCACCTCATGGAGTTACTATGAGAAGTGTGTTAGTTTCCTGTTGCTGCTGTAACAAACCGCCCCAAACCTAGTGGCTTAAAAGAACACAATTCGTTCTCTTACTGGAGGTCAGAAATGAGAAAATGGACCTAAAATGAAGGTGCTGGCAGCGGGGGCGTCCTTTCTGGAGGGTCTAGAAGAGAATCCATTTCCTCACCTTTTCGGGCTTCTAGAAGCCGCCCGTACTCCTTGGCTCGTGGCCCCTTCCTCTCTCTTCGGCAGAGTAGTGCCTCCCACTCACTCTCTGACTTTGACCCTCTTGCCTCCCAAGAAGAGGGACCCTTGTAATTACATGGCCCCCCTGCCCTGGATCATCCAGAATAATCTTCTCATTTTAAGGCCCTTAACTTAATCGCACTTGCAAATTCTCATTTGCCAGGTAAGGTAACACATTCGCAGATTCTGGGGATTAGGATGTGGACATTGGTGGAGGTCAGGCGGGGCGGGGGTGGGGGGAGAGGTATTATTCAGCCTACCACAAGAGTCAAGTAGAGCTCAGACCAGTAAGCTCCCGATAAAGGCATCTGTTGTTATCATGAGGGTATTAGGAAGACTCAATGAAATCGGGCCTGAGATAAATAAATGCTGAGTAAAATGGACAACTAACGACCTTTCTAAAAATTTCCACCACTGCGTAACAGCAGCTTAGGAAGCAATTCCTAGTTTGATAGGAGAAAATAAAATCTCATTTTACTCTGAATTATTGTGCTGCCAGTAAGGTTGTTATAGGCTGAATTGTATCCCCTAAAAATTTGTTTATTGAAGTCCTAATCTCCGGTACCTCAGAAAGTGACTGTATTTGGGGATAGGGTCTTTACAGTGGTAATTAAGTTAAAATGAGGTCATTAAATTAGGCCCTAATCCGGTATGACTGGTGTTGTCATAAAAGAGGAAATTAGGACACAGACATGGGCAGAGGGAGGACCACGTGAGGACGCAGGGAGAAGATGGTCATCTACAAGCCAAGGACAGAAGCCTCAGAAGAATCCAATGCTGCCGACACCTTGACCCGGGACTTCTAGCCTCCAGAACTGAGAAAATAAATTCCTGACGCTTATGCCTCCCAATCTGTGGTACTTTGTTACTGCAGACCTAGCAAACGAATGCAAAGGTCAAACATCTGTACGCTCCCTCTCTGATGATTGTCAACTGACAATTGTCCATCCGTGTCCTTCTGTATATATAACTACACGAGTCTTTGCATGCTTATGTTCGAACTAGCAATTTCTTTAAAAGCACACAAACCTCTCTCCTCTGCCGAAACTCGTATTTTACGTTGCAGAACAAGGAATGATCGACAGATTACAAAGAAACTGTTTCCTGGGTAACTCTGGAGTCCCTTGAATTTTACCTAAATCTAAAAAGAGCATAGAATCCAGAAACGCACACTGTCCATACCTGAACAGCAAACTGAAAAGGCAGATGACCAAACAGACTCCGATCGTGAAGATGTAGGCCAGCTGCATGTGGTAAGATGCGCCACCGATCCCGTGCCGGATTGTAGAATTGGTGTAAAAGCCATAGTACATCACCGTGTCCCTAAAATAACCCTGAAAGGCAGGGACCATAAGCCCTAGGTCAGATGAGTCTCTTGAGAAAACGATGAATGACTATGGTCAGCACAGTTGACCTCTCTCATCTACGCGAAGCTTGGACCAAACAATTTAGACATTTCGTTTGCCAGGAAAGGGGCTCCCAAGGTCACTGAGAACCTAGACATTTTATCAGTAGACTCTCAGAGCTGGAAGAGAATCCCAAACCAACATAACTTTACAATAGAGGGACCGGTTGTCACCACTTGGAAAACCCGTCTCAGTTCGCAGGCCTAAGTTCGCTGGTGGCCAGACACATTTGGCACTCGGACTGCAGTTTGTTGATCCCCGGTCTACAGAATATCAATGGCAGAAATCTCTTCTAGAAGGTGAACTCACAAGGCAGGGGCTCCGTGCCTCAATGAGCAGCTGAGTAAATCAGTTACACTTGCTACTAAATAGATACCCAATAGATACTCTATATAGATACCCAAGATACATAGTGAAGCAGAAAATGTCGCAAAGCAAGACTTGTAGTGTCCTACCTTCTTTTTTATTTTGTCAAAGAATGTCTGTCTGTCTGTCTGTCTACCTACCTACGTATGTATCTGTATTCGTATAGGCAGAAAACCAGTGGACAAAGATACCCTCTGAACTGGGGAGTCGGACAAGGGAAGAAGGGTAAAATGGACTTGTTCTTAGTTTGTTCTCTTCTATAGTAGGAACTTTTCAAAAGGAGCATTGTATTTTGTAGAAAGAAAAGGTAGATCTATGAACACCAATACGAGACATCTACCATCTATTAGGTTAAAAACTCAAGTCCTAGGCAATATATCAGAATAATTCATCTTTTGTTAAAAAAGAGAAAAGGGTACACGTGAACGTGCGTCTATGTGTCTACATGTGCACAGCGAAGAGGATTCTGAGCAATAGAAGCTGTTATCTTTGGAGGCAGAAATTCTACTGCATTGTCCAGCTGCTGCTTTTGAGCGGAGCCAGAGGACAACATTATTTAAACACCCACTTTCCCCATCGGCTGACTCCCAGGAAAAACGAGAGGTCTGGACCAGTGGCCAGCCAGGCGTGTCTCTGGGTTTCTGAGGTGGCGAACGCCAGGCTGGGGAAATGGAGAACTTACCGCCCCCGTTAGAAATTCCAGTCCGGTGAACTGGAGGGTGTTCCTTTCGGCCACGGTTAACTGAGGGATTATGAGGAAGCTGAAGGTCACGATGAACGAGAAAATGTTGAACTTCAAAAGCCACCTCAGAAAGTTGAAATAGGACAGGACGCTGGTTCCAAACTTGCCTCCGATGACTTTGAGCGTCTTCTGCCACAGGCTGACGGAATCGAGCAGCTCCGACAGGCCGCTCCTGGGCCTCCGGTACGCCTGGGTTAGGACGCAGAGCACGAGGCTTGACGGGCCCTCGACAAACGTCTACCCATCAGGTCCCACCAGAGCAAAAAAAAACGGCTGCTGTTCCTTTGTAAACGTCGCCTCATTTGATCTGCGGGAACCACCCCCTAACGCGAATGCTATTACCACCTTCCCAGGTTTGCCGAAAAAGGTGACGCTCGCAGTGGCTAAATTGGCCAAATAACTTGGACCTTCGACTGCCCACCTGGTTTCCCCACACCTGAACTGACCCAAGTTCTATGGCTTTCAGTGAAACAGCCTTGAATTTTGATGCCTCTTCCCTGTGGGTCCCCTTTCATCCCCACTCTTCCATCTCCCCGTTTCCACCCTCTGGTGCCCATTTTGCTGACTGCAGTCAAGGCTGACTCACCAGTGAAATGGAGTTCAGACACTGAGCACAGCAGCTGAGTTCAAGGGTACGATGGGGCTGCTTGCTTTTCTCTTTGTCGACCATTTTCCTGTGGCCAACGGCAGAAGGAAGAGAGAGATACCAAGGCTGTGATACATTCCTTCCCCAAATATTTACTGAGTGCCTAGGACGGGCCAGGCACGGTCCCAGGAGAAGAGAAAGAGCCCAATTTCCCTGCCTCGTGGAGCTGACACCCTCGTTAGAATAGAAAGACAATAAACAATAAATATAACAACCAAATGGGTAAATGATGGAATATTAAAAGGTGATTTGCATTATGGAAAAGAAAATGGAAAAACAGAGCAGGCGGGGTGGGAAGCCTGTTACAATTTGAATAGTGTGATATTTGAGCAAAGTCTTGAAGGAGGGAAGGGGTGAGTCGTATGGAGAAGGGACTGTCCCATGCATAGGGAACGGGTAACTCAAAGCCACTAGCAAAACAGGATGGCTGGACTTCTCTATTCCAGGGTCCCATCCCACACTGCAGTTAGCCGTCATGTCTCTTTAGAATCCTCTAGTCTGTGACAGTGTCTCAGCTTTTCCTCATTTATGATGACCTTGACAGTTCTGAGGAGTCCTCGCTGGGTATTGTGCAGACTGTCCCTCACCTTTGGTTAGACTGGAGTTACGAGTTTAAGGAGCCTGCCAGAGAGGGGATGCGTCCTTTTTGTCACATTACCTAACTCCGGGGATGTCAATCTCGACCACCGGACTGAGGTAGCATTAACCGGAATTCACCTCTGGAAAAGCTACTTTCCCCCTCGTCACACTCTACTCTTTGGAAGCTGCTCACTAAGCACGGCCCACACCCCAGGTGACAGGAGAGAGGAATATCCACGCAGATCATGCGGAATTCTGCAGAAAGATGGTCTCTTCTCTCGCATTTAATTTATTTCTTATCTTTCTAAGACGGGCAAAAGTAGGTGATTGAGGTTCGTGTGAAATCAGGGACAGAAGAAAAGCTTCCGGGCCATACCTAAGGTTCCGTTTCTCTTCCATGGTCCTCGGCTGATTCCTGATGGCTTTCATTCTGTCTCTAGATGTCATGGCTATCAGAGATGCAATTAACTTTTGTCCTGTGGGAGAGAAACAACAGAATTCATCTTTTGTCCTTTCCCAGGATAACAGCATTTTAAAACCTGGCGCTGAGGTTAGATTATGTTTTCAGAAGAACACAAGGAAAGAAGGACCTAGGGACTTAGTGACCTCCAAAGGTTAGAAATAAAATTAGACGACAGCGTGCATCTGTGTTAAAGCTCAAAGCCAAAGCAAATGATACCTTGCAGGCAATTCCAATTTAGTGTTTTTCTTTCCCATGACAAAAATCCTTTCCCATGGCCAACGAGAGTGTGCAGTTCGGTCAGCCTCTCTCTCCTCTACCTTCTTTCCAATTCTAGACTGTTGTCACATGCTCCTCCACCCCCTTGGAATGACTGCCCCCTCCTCTCCTGCTAACTTACTGTCCCATTTTGGATCAGGGTGGCAGACACTATCGGTGGCCTACCCCAAAGCCATGGCTCCTTTTTTTAATAGAATCTCAATTTTGTTTAGAAATCTATGTCTCTCCCTCCCCGTGGCCCTGAGAGTCTGAGGGTGGGACCTATCTCCAGGGACAGGGGACAGGTCTCGATGAGTCCAAGCCAACCCTGATGGCCCTGTCCCCCTTGCAGGTGACTGACTTAGGCACAGGCATGTGACACGATGCTGGTCGCCATGGCTCCTTTTTTTAATAGAATCTCAATTTTGTTTAGAAATCTATGTCTCTCCCTCCCCGTGGCCCTGAGAGTCTGAGGGTGGGACCTATCTCCAGGGACAGGGGACAGGTCTCGATGAGTCCAAGCCAACCCTGATGCCCCTGTCCCCCTTGCAGGTGACTGACTTAGGCACAGGCACGGGACACGATACTGGTCAATGTTCTGTGTGCGTGTGGCAGGGGGAGTGTCTGCTGAGGAGCTTCCTGGCAAAGATTTCTTCTGTCTCAAAAAAGCAAACCTCAAAAAACAATGAAAAGACAGATCTTTCCTCTTCCGGATGTTATTATGTCCACATGTGACACCCGGGACTGCTGCCACCATGTCGTAACCGTGAGGAAGCCATCTGGGTGGCCGGCAGGGGCAGCCAACAAGGCAGCACGCTGGCTCCCTGGTCAAGCTATTGAGCCAGAGCCCCTCACTTTAATGACATACTGTAGTTGAGGTGGAGGGACAGTCCCCAGGAGAGGGCCACCAAATCACTTGGCTGAAGACGAGGAATTTGCACCTCTCCTGAGAGGAAAAGGAGAGGAGACAGAGAGGAAGAAAGGAGAAGGAGGGAGGAGGAGAAAACGAAGATTCGGGGAGACAGCAGCATGACAGGAGATACCCCAATCTTCACTAACGAGACTAAATCCACAAAATAGATTATTTTTCCTCTTAGAAATCACCGAGAGAGGCTGGACTTCACCCCTGAAGTAGTATCGGATGAAATAAAAACAACATCCAAGAAATCAAACAGTATTTGGCCTCAGGAACAGAGAGGCAGGGAGCTCTCAGCAAAGGCCCAGTTTCGTGGTGAACTTGGCAGTAAGAGGCATCCCATGCTGCCAAACCCAGGATGGGAAGGAATTGAGCCAAAGCAGGACGGGACAGTGGTTAAGGTGTCAGGTTTGCGAATCAGGCAAACCTTATCTGCCAGATCACTTTATCTCCCTGAACCTCAGTTTCCCGCATCGAACAAATGGAAATGACACACCCGCCCCGCACAGGTGTGGAGTGTGGGGGGTAAATAAAATTAAATGCGATGGATAACAAAAAAGGAAATGCTTGGCAGAGCGCCAGACACGTGAAATGAGCTTGATGAAGGTCAACTCCTTTCCAGGTGTTAGAGGCTCTAGGGTGACTCTTTCCTAGGTCCCTAGCATCCTCAGGTCATCTACCGAACCTACTTAATGTCTTAAAACTAAAAACCCCGAGGGCCACTTGGAAGCCTTCTTTGCTCCCATCCTCCCCTGGGCCCAGTGTCTCACTACCTTGAATATTGTCATGTGAAGTACAGGGAGTGTCTACGCCCACACTTTCTGGGCTACGAAGGGTCTGAGAAAACGATTCATTCAAAGATGATGAAAACTGTAACGACCGCTTGGCCTTTTTGTCACTCCGGTGACTGCCCATCTGAGGGTCTGTCACATCAATGTCAGACGTGGATGAGACCATGCTGAAGCTGGCGTTCACCAGCGTCTTTTCTGGCACGATCCGATTTGAGGACAGATGCCTTTGGACCTCGGGTGGAACATCCTCGACCTCGATGACGATTTCATTCACTTGGTCATCAGACAGCATCTCTCGCCCCCTCTAAGTCTGGGGCCCCTACAGATGTCACAAAGCGGTGATGACAATCACAGAGGGATGCCCCAGTCACATCTTTTTAAATGCCAGGATGAGACTGCCAAAGCCAGCCCCCGCACAAAGCACAACATAACTCCCCATATCCACACCAGAAGGGTCTCCTAGGAGGAGGTGTGTTTTTCTGACCAGAGTTCTGTCTTGGTAGCCAGGTAAGAAACCAGAAACAGAATCCTTCATTAAAGACAATGGGATTCTAGAAACAGCCAGCAGAAATTCTTCTAAATGGCTCGTAATCACAGAGAAGGATTTTCTTCTTAGTTTCGTGCCTCTGGCCTAAAACATATATTTTACATTCATAACTTGATATACCAACGGGTTTCTAGTGAGCCCATTATTATCTCCTAATTGCCTTGGGTGGCCCACCCTGGTATTTGTCCGCCTCCCGATATCCATTCCCCACTTCTGTCCCTCTGGCAGAAGGCTCCTTTCCTGTCCAGGCACTGTGCCCTCTGAGGGTTCAGGGGGGTCCTCTTTTACCAGAGGCCCCAAATCTCTTGCTGACTAGATAGAACAGTCTGATGAAATTTAAAGGCATTTCTTTACCCCAAGAGTTATAGCCATTCTCTGCTCCAAGTGGAGACTGATTATGTCTCCATGGTTTTCCCTCCCAGGTAGCAACAGCTAACCCTTGTGGAAGATACATGCCTCCTTGAGAAGGATCTTAGGAATCGGGTTAAAGTTTATCATACAGGCTAGGGGGCCGGAAGGCGAGAGCTACTGTCGTGTTAAGTCATGGGGCCCCTCAATTTGCGTTACTAGACTGAAGATGCCGTAGGTTTATTTCTCGTTGTTCACAGATACGCCTCTAGGTTCCAGTACGCCCTGGCCTCTCTCCTCTGCTGCTTCCTTTTTCTCTCTCTGTCTTGGCCTCCGATCAGACCTTCATCGCCATACACGGTGATCCTTACAGAGCTTCCCAACTGATTTCAAAACCTCTGGCCTTTGCCTGTCTGACCGCTTTACACGCCACCGCTATTAATAATGATATGGCGATTCCGAAGAATTTTGATCGATGTGTCACTACCTCGCTAACACGTGTATGAGCAACAGGATGGACACGTGACCCAATCTTCTTTCTTCCAGGAAAAATGCTTGGGCCATGTGTAGGCACGTGCCATGAATAGGGCTGGACGGCATTGACTAACAGACCCGCAGAGAAGAAAGACTCCCTAATGAGCCTGCAGAGCGGAGGGTGTGTGCCTAGGCCTGCTCCTGGTCATGCTCCGTGGCCTGTGGAGAAGGCCTGTCTGTGGTTAAGACAAACGAGGTGAAGCTTAAATAGAAGCTGAGTCAAGCGCAGGAGAGAAATAGATGGGAAAAAAAAAAAAAAGCAGAGTTCGGGTAGCGCCGAGCCCCTGGTGTCGGGCTCATGGCCCCTGCTTCTTGTAACTCGTTCAACAAATTAATTTAACAGATATCTCTGAGCATCCACCGTGTGCCAGGCACTATGCCAAAAAGTAATTCTCTCTTCAGTTCTTTGTTTCCCCCACATCCTTCCCCCCACACGAGCCAATAAATTCACTTTGGGCCAGCGTATGTTGGATTTCTGTCACTTGCAACTCGGAGAGTCCTAATGAAGACACCCTGACATCCAGAAAACACTCTGCGTGTCTAAAAGAAAACCCTGTTATAATACATTTAGGAAGTACTGCTCTGGCGAGGCCAAGGGGGAATGGCGATGTCTGCATTGCCTTGAACGTTCCTTTCCCAGCTTTGCATTTTTCGTCACTGTCCATTTAAGCCTTACCTTGGGGTGACTTGTGCCAGTCACTTCCATACAGTGGGTTTCCATAAGCTGGGCCGGGGCTGCTTTCACCCACATACGCAGGGTTCACTGGAAAGAAGAGGGAGAATACATTGCCGTGAATCCTACATTAAATATTACTGAACACATAAGGGTCAGTAAGACTGAGACCTTGACCTTGAGGTTCTAACAGACTGATGATTAAGCACTTGGGTGGAAAATAGGACACAAATATGGAAACAGTGCTGGTAAATACAAACAGCCTCAATGGACGGTTTTCATTTGACTACAAGCCATAGTTAAAAATAACTATTGCACTGAGGTCCAGGACATACCTATACACACAGAACTAAAAAAGTTTTACAGAACAATACTTTGCTTAACTAAATAAACAGCACCCTGATATACTCTTATTTTTTGCCATTCTTTTCTGTTTTATTTTTAAAAATTAATTTCATGACTCGTTAATGGGTTACAACTCAGAGTTTGAAAAATACTTGCCTGGGGTCAGGGAGGGATGAACAGGCAGAGCACCAAGGGATTATGGGTAGTTAAAATATTCTGTATGATAGCATATGGATGGATACACATCATTATACATTTGTCCAAACCCACAGAATGTCAAACACCAAGAGTGAATGCTGATGCAAACTATGGACTTTGAGTGATCATGATACAGCGATGTAGGTTCATTGATGGGGGGGATCTTGAGAATGGGGGAGTTATGTATGTAGGGGCTGGTGGTATGTGGGAAAGTTCTGTTGCCTTGCTCTCAATTTTACTGTGAATCTAAAACTACCCTAAAAAGTCTTCATTTTTTAAAAAATTAAGCAAAAAAAAAAAAATGCTTGTCTAGATTATTATAGAGACTCCTTCCAGTTCTAGCATTTTACGATGATGTATAAATGAATTTGAAATATGACATTATTTTCTTAGGGACAGAGTCCAGTCTTGGCACCTACATGACAGTGTTACATTTCAATATATTTTTATTTAACCCATAGCAAACATTACAGGCTAAACTCCTCAACAGAGAAAATGAGCACTTTTCGATGGTGACGTACACAAAAAATTACACGGTGGGACGTTCTGGGACTTCTTGCCAAGGATTGATTCCCAGTTCTGCCACTTACTACTGTGTGCCCTTTGGCATGTTACTTAACCTCTCTGAGCTTCAATATCTTAGTCTCTGAAACAGAAATATTTTTTTTTTTATTAGGCCCCATAAAAAGTCTCTCTAGGCATTTCTTCCTTGTTGCCTTCCCCCATTAAACGTTAATACCACAGATAGACTATATCCGTTCATGTCCAATATGAGTATCTATCTGCACTTTACATATAAAATGAGAGATTTTTTTTCCTGGCATTCAATACATTTTCAAACCTTGGGATCGATTTTGCTCCATTGAGAATTCCCGGCATAAGGTTTGGAAGAGCCCAAATGAATGTTTTCGGTGCAAATGTGTAACGATCAGTGTCTTTCATTAGTGCGTGGCAATGCATCCCACGCCCTCCTCTCTTCCCCATCTGCCCCCTAAGGGCTGAGCCAATCCTTCCTCTGCAACCAACCAGCTCTTGGGGCCCTCATTCTGTTCCTGGCTGAGCACCCACCCTTTTCTGGCCCCGGGGGCTCTGAATTTCTATAACATTGACTTGTGTGTAATAAGCTGGCTTTCTCTACGAGCAACATGTCCCCCTTTCTCCAAGAAGATAAGAACTGGTAGCATTTCCTTTCTCTCCCAGAGCTAAACCTTTACAAACAGCAGATTCGGAAGACTGACGCGATTTTTTACACGTTAATAGTCTGCTTGCTAATTTCCTTTAGTTTTGATGTACCAGTGTTACCTGCCCACTTGAGTTTCAAGCAACTTGAGGACAGAGCTGCCTCTTACTTCCCTTGTTCCCAGTAGGTTCTGACAGATCCAGACGGAACAGCTTTAGGATACGCTAAACTGAAGTGGCCACTGGCAGCATGCAAATCGAATCTAGCCCAACAGTGATTTTTGTTTGCCAAGTTCAGTGTTTTTACTTTTATATTATCATTTTGGAGCAGGTAAAAATTGCATAAAAACTCAGATTTTTCGCTTCTGTAGAAAAATCTGAGGACCTGGTCACAAGGAGCCCACAATTCCGCATACCCACAATTCATTGAACCTGAACATCGACTACGTCACATAGCACAGAGCGTACACGCCCTGTTTTTCACAACCCCTACCTGGCTTGCTCTGATAACTGATAACACTGCTTCTTCTCTAGACAGTGAGTTCTCAACCCATGTAAAGCAGGTGTGCGAGCGGGGAAGGATAAACCAATTCTTCTATTGATGTAAATATTTAATGACTGCTCCCTTAAGTCCAAAGATATGACTCTCACCTTCACAAATGCTTCTTCCTAAGATATGACTCTCACCTTCACAAATGCTTACCATAGCCGCTGCCAGGAGCACCTGACACAGAGTGGCCGTATGGATTGCCCATCTCCATGGATCTCATTTCAATGCTTTCGGGGTAATACTCATTCTCTCTCACAAGGATGCCTAAGGGGCCATCACCCCCGTGATGAGATGAAGGCTGGATTGAAGATGTTTGGCTGAGCACCCTGAAATCCAAAAATAATGAATCGATATCAAGGATCGTAAAGACAATAAAGATAGTAAAGATAATCATCCATCCATCCGTCCCACAAATGCCAACTGAATGCCAAGCATATGTTAGGCATAAGCTAAGGGTGAGGACACAAAGATAAAGACATGCGTGTCTACCCTCAAGCAATTCCCAATACAATCTGGTGGAGCTTCTTAGATACAACCATAAGCAATTATAATACGAGTAGCAACTAATGAGTATCAGAAGACAGGCCCGAGTAGCTCAGAGGAAGGAGAAAGGAATTCTGGCTGGGAGTTTGGGGGAAAACTACATGGAAAAGAGACATCTGAGCTGCGATGGGGAGGATAAGTTCACACATAAAGTGTTAGGAGAGGGCATTTCAAAGATGAACAGCATCAAGGGGTGAGACAAGACAGTGGGGGGATCTATAGAAGGAATGCTATGAAAATCAATTAACCTGGAGCAACAGTTCTCAAAAATATACATATATCAATTCCCATGCTCCGCCCCAGACAATTAAATCAGAAGCTCTGAAAGTTGGGCCCAGGAATCTGTATTATTTTTAAAGTTCCCCCAGGTGATCAGGTAATTAATTCTAAAGATCAACAAAGGACAAGAACCACTGACCTCAAGTATAGGACCGAGATAGGAAAAGGGTAGATGAAGTGAAAGCTGCTCTCTGGCTGGCATCTTACAATGAACCCAGTGCATCTCCTTCTTAAATGTGCTCATAGGTGAAGCAGGTGTGGCCTTTCCCCCAAAGGTTATGCAGAATTATAAAAGATGAGAAGCGAAAGAGTGACAGGCTCAAAGGTGTATTCTAGAACGATGAATCAGGCAGTGGGGACAAGACCGAGGAGAACATTTTGAGACTCGGTCCTGTTAACCCTATTTAGGACCCGAGGACATTTTGATCCTGCTACACACCTAAATTCGATATCCTTGTTCCTTGAGATAAATATAAGCCATTAGGTTTTGTTGATTTCGTAATTATTACTAGTAGCAATAGTACATGCAAGATGAGACTCCTATTGATTAAAATTTCACATGGTAAAATTTGTTTTCGATGTTTTTAAAAAGCTAGCTAAAGAATCGCACCTTGTTGGCAACATGAATATTGAAAATTTTGATGCAGAAAAAATCAGATTTGGTAGAACTAAGTCACCCAAACTAGCATTGTCAACATCCAGAACAGCATCTAGTAAAATTTGCCAATGACCAAAAATGGACAGATGGTTAAAGATTTTTTATGGCTGAGCCATAAAAAGAAATTGAGGAATTAAATTGACTTCATGGAGTCAGATCTTCAAAAGATTTTCTTGATTATAATGCATTCCTATTGATTTAATTCTGGTTAAAATGTTTATAACTATTCAAGTCTTAACCCTAGCCTCACTGGAAAAGCAGCAGGTCAAAACAATGGGGACCTACATGTCTCATAGGGATTGGTTAGGAAGAGGTAGGAGATGGGGGAGGATGTTATCCAAGAAAGAAGTGATGAAAGATTATGTTTAGGTAAGGGCTTAAAGCCTTAGCTTAAAGCTTAAAAGTCCATGGCCCAGGTGATGTTTACAGGTGGGTGAGATCTACAGGTAGATACGAAAGTTTCGCCACAACTTCAGGTCACCGAAACCATCACACATAGTATCCCTAACCCAAACAATGTCATCTTAGCACTCGGCCCCTACCCCCAGTGAAGGGAGATGCTTTTACTTACTCCCTGGTCATCTGCAGAGTCTGGTCATTTAAAGAGCCATCATCACGAGCATCCTCAGCATTTGTGTAATCAGGCTCTCCCCAAAAGTTTGGAGAGTTCCGATAGTCCTCAGCATTGGGATAGTCTGGTTTCCCAAAACTGTTTGAAGAGTTAGGTTGATTCGCAGCAACTAGATAATCAGGCTCTCCCAGTGTGTCTCTGTATGGATTGATTCTGGAACCAGCATATTCTGGATTCCTTCTGGAGCCTGGATGGTTGGAATTGACTCTAGGGCCAAGACGGTTAGAGTTTCCCTGAGCTCCATGATAATCTGGTTCTCCAAAGGAGCCAAAATAAGCAGCATTTGTTCTGGAGCCTGCATAGTTTCCATTGCTTCTGGAACCTGCAAAGTCAGGGTTTTGTTGAGATTCAGAGTAGTCTGGCTCTCTGGATAAGCCTGGATGGTATGGACTGCTCCAAGATTCATTATAATCTGGCTCAGGCAGAGATTTGGGATAGTCTGAACTTCTGGAGCCTGCAGAGTATGGGTCGCTTCTGGTTTTAGAGAAATCTGAGTTGTTCAGAGGATCTGAAGAATACGGATGATCCTGAGTTTTCAAATACCCTCGCATGCGGTTCCAAGATGCTGAATACTCAGGGTAATCTGGGTCTTCCTCATACCCATTATTCCTGTAGCAGGCGGACATGCTGGTACAGATCTGTTACCCTGGAGTGCTCAAATGCTCCCGCATTTGCGGTCACTCAGGGATCTTTTTGCAAATCTGAAAAATAAAAAGGAAGAAAATGGTCAGATTTTTTTTTCTCTGTCTTCCCTGCAGAGATTGGTGGTCATCTTCCAGTATTTGTCCTTTATTTCATAGTGGGGTGCACAGCTGCCCAGAATAAAGCCTATGTTCCCCGGCCTCCTGTGCACCCAGGTGTGGCCACGAGGGGGTCATTGGGATGTGAGCACAACGTCCAGGTTGCACTGTCAAAGGGAAGGGCTATTCCTCCCCTTCTCAGTCTTTTCTTCCTGTGGGCTGGCATCTGGAAATGGTGTCATCTCAGGCCGAGCACACAAAGGTGACATCCACTGTAGGGACAACAGCAAACAGAGGGAGGAAGCCTGGGTTGCTGATGACTTCAGGAATCAGTGCTGACATATCAGCTTGGGCTTTTAGGTAAAGAAAAAAAGAAATACTTGTCTTATGTGAACCACTGTTTTCTGGGTCTCTGATACATGTGGCTAAATTCATATCCTGACTAATGCAATCCCTCGATTGAGAGGGAGGGGTACAGTGAACCAAAGGATTGGAAGGAACGAGGGCTTTTTGAGCACTTTGATTGCACTAGTGGTTCTAGGGTTCAAAGCATAAAATAGTATGCGTGCCCAGAGGAAGAATGCTTAATGGTAACTAGAGGGCTTGGGTAAAAAGACAATTCCAGTTTGAAAATGTCATTTTATGAGTTCCATGAGCTCTCATCTGTAGACATGGCATACTTTCAAATCAGAAGTGGTGGAGTTTTAGTTTCTAAGTGTGCTGGGTATCTGTTTTTACTCGCCTATTATCTATTTCCCCTTTTTGTGGCAGCAACGTCCTGATTTTCCTCTGGGCATCTGCCCCTCCAGACCTCTTGGTCCAGGTGATTCAGGAAGAGCTGATGGTATTCCTGATTCCAAGGATGGTCACATGACTCAGGCCTGACCAATCAGTGTTCACCATGCCCCTGGCCACAGGATGTGGTTCAGGAATGGGCACATAACCCAAGTCAGTCTCCTAGGACCCTGAGTAGAGTAACTGGAAAAGACGTGCTCTCGTCTCACTGGGGGGGGAGGGGGGCTCCAGTGATAGAATGTAAGCCTGGAATTGCTGGTGTCATGTTGACAGAGACAGTGAAGAAAATAACAAGCAGGGGAGAAAACTTAAAGGAAGAATCAATAAGATTTGTGGACTGAACGGATATGGGAAGAGCAAGAAGAAAGAAAAATAAGACAAAAATATCTCCAGGTTCAAGACAGCTTTAGATAAATGGTGATGCCTCTGAAAGACAGAAGTAGACTATTTTTAAAGTTCAACCCATATTTAAAAGTTTATCTCTGTGCAAACAAGCATGGTCAGACTTTCTGTTGATTAATCAGAGCTAAAGACAATATTGACCTTCTGCAATCACCTAGTCTTAGAATGTTCATTTGCCAACTCAGTCCCATATTTGTCAGCATAATAGAAGTTCATTTTTCTTTGATTTGTCCCTACCCAGCATCCACGGTAACATTTTTCCTTGAGTAACACTCTGTCAGTCCATGTGGGCCAGATCTGGACATATGACCCAATCCGAATGATGTTCCTTCTGGCCACAGTGATTGGGTATATAGCCCAGTCATGACCAATAAGATTCAATCCTGGGAGTTCTGTCATAAATGTTAGAAAGTGAGAAACTCTCTGATGCCAGCAGGTCAGAGAACAGAGCCAAAAGATGAAATAATTAGGGATCATATGCTGATGACATTATTGTAGCACCTGAGTCCAGCTATGCCTAAAGACAGCCAACCACTGGATACTTGAGTCATTACATCCTCTCTTTGACTTAAGTTAGTTTGAGTTGGGTTTCTGTAATTTGCAAATTTAAGAGACTTCTGATTAATATCCTGAGTTTTGCAAACAGAAACACCTACACAAACTATGAGTGCTCTGAAGATTAGATGCTATGCTTTATTACTAATTGTTTTTCATAAGATGGAGACTGAATCCATTCATTTACCTATATTGCAAGACTAGAGATTAATATGTCTATTGTCTAGGACTTCCATGGCCTACAAAAATCCTAGCTATTACATCTAACAAGTCAAAAAGTGCCTACTAAATTCAAGAAATTAGAAATAGGTACAATAATACCAGCCCCAAACAAATGAATATATCCATTGAAAGGCAATAAGAGTGTGCACAGAACTTTTTTAAAATAAGTGCCAGAAATTGGAAACAACCCAACAGCAGAAGCAGAAAATAAAGAAATCATGGCAGGTTCATAAGATGAAATACATGGCAGGAACAAAGTTTGAACTTTTGTTATAAACAACAACAGGGATGCATCTCACAGATGTAATGATGAGTCCTCTACAGAAGAGTACACGCCGTATAATGTTTATACAAAGTTCAAGAACAGGCAAACTAGTGAATAGTGACATAACACAGAATAGTCATTTCCTTGAGGAAAGGAAGAGATGGGAAGTAATGTGAGGAAATCTCTGGGGGGCTGGAAATTGTTCTATATCTTGATCTAGGTGGTGGTTACGTGTGTGTGTATGTGTGTGTGTGTGCGAGAAAATTCATGCGCGAGAAAATTCAACAAGTATACTTAAGAGTTGTGCTCAGCTCTGTAAATAGATTACTCCTGAATTTAAAGATGAAAATTAAAAAGACCTAAACCAGAAGCTATAATATAAAACCTTCTATTTCCACCAAGAGGCCACTATACCAGTTTAAAAAAAAAAAAGAAAGATTCTGGCTCACACACATTTCCGCTTTTCTTATATACAGACACAGAAAAGCTGAATTAGTGAAAACGAAAGCTAGGTAAGGACAGGACTCATTACCTGAACTGAATCGTCTATGTGACGCTATAACGTGAAGAAGGTTAGGAACCCAGCCCTTGGCACTGGCTAGAACTGAGTTCGGTTTCCATCACTGGCTGTGTGGTCTAGAGCATGCCACTTAACCTCTCTGAGTCTGTTTCCTTACCCATCCAATGCTGAGAGTAACATCTCACAGGGTTGTTGTAAGCAACAAACAAGAAAAGGCACGTACAGCAGCTGGTGCCAAGGAAGTACTCACTAAATGGAAGCTATTTATTACCACTGTTTGATTGATGTGTAAATATAAACCCTGGAAACTTCCAAAAGAGATAGAGAGTTGGTGGACAATAGAAGTCATGCACTCAACCAGGCCATGATTAAAGAAAAAAGACATGTTTTATAATCAGGTAGAGGAAGGAGCAATTCTACAAAATTTCTAGGTTGACATGGTGACTGAAACTAAATTTTGCTGAGAGCTTATTAGCCCAGGCTGAAAAAAAAAAATCGTGACAGGTTATCTAACACTCACTTCTTGTGAAAAAGGAAGTATACCAGTTTTTCAAGAGGGCCACGCCTCTCCCCAGGACACATTTCTGAAAATAATGCTTCACGGGAACCCTTCCAAAGAGATCAGATAACCACATAATAAAACTAGGGCTCAGGGCCACTAGCAATGAGCTCAGAAGCTCTAGCAACTCCAGGACCAGTGACAGGAATAGAGTGAGGCAGAGACTCTGGAGGCCCCTCCAGGTCACTGGGAGGAGCTGAGCAGCCTCCTGCAGTAAGGCAGTGGCATGCGGCTATTTCTGGCCAGTGGGCTGTTAGCATAAGTGACTGCGACACTTCTAAGCCAAAGCATTTAAGAGCCCAAACACAGCCCTTGAATGGGGTCCCATTCATCAGCCTGAGTTCTTGCATGGAGAATGGAGCACAGCCCACTCCCACCTCCCCCAACCCACAACAGCTTTTCATGAGCAAGAAAAAACTTATGTGGTAAGACATTGAGGTTTTCAGATTGCTTCTCGACGCAGCAGAGCCTTGCCTCACCTGACTCAAGCAACATCACCTTTGTTTAGAATCTTTGACAAATTTATTCATATATATATATACTTACTCACATATATATATAATTATATAGCACATGCACAACACACATATAGAGATCGATACAAAGAAAGGTGATAGATAAATAGGAAGTAGGTAGATAGATGCAGGATGGATGGATGGAGAGACAGAGAGATAGATAAATAGAGAGGGGATTTCTCCAAAGAAGATAGACAAATGGCGAGAGAGAGAGAGAGAGAGAGAGAGAGAGAATGGCGTTATGTGTGATCAGCCAACAATTAGTTTCAAGTTTGCTGAGAGAGAGAGGGAGAGGGAGAGAGAGAGAGAATGAGAATGGTGTTATGTGTGATCAGCCAAGAATTAGTTTCAAGTTTGTTGGTACAGTTCTCGGTTCTACTGACGTCATTTGACAGGATCTTGTGTATTGCATCTTTTTCACAGTCCGGGCTCAAGTGGTGCTGTAACCACTATCACCTGTACTGGGACAAAGTCCTAAACGAACAAAAAACTAAGCCCACGGAAAAGGATCAGGAAAGAAGAGGGAGGAGGAAACAACTATAAGGAAATAGTCTCGTATAAATGGTCACATGAAGTGGGTGTGGTCTTCTGAGAACCTTGCTCATAGTTTCTATTGACTATTAGAGAAACAAGTGTCCTGCCCTGTTCAAAGAAATAATTTTGCTTTATGCCTTGGAAAAATCACAGAAAGGATACTGCATTTTTCCCCCAGTTTTTATTGCTCTAGTACCTTCCTAATAAAGACCTTTGAACCATCTCTTCTGAGCTGTCCTTGCGACATCTCATCTGGGATTCCCCACTGCTATTTCAATGGTTTTCAGTCACATTCTCAAGCAATTACATGCCTTCTAAGTCTGTTAGTTGTGCACTACCTTTTCGGTCTTGAAAGGCTCCTGGTTGGATTGGGCGAGCATAACAGTCTTATATTTGTCACTCAGCTAGTCGGGAGTGTTCAAGAGTAAATTACAGCAATTCCTCGAATAACATCGTTTTGTTCAGTCTTTTTATTATAACATGGATGAGATGCTGTAGGAACCGAAACCTTGTTCGTAT